TTGTAATGATGCATGGTACCATCATCATTGTCATCCCGCTGTGTGCATCCCCCTGGTCCGCCCAGGGTCTGTGCAAGGCCAAGGAGAGGGAGGCGACCTCAGAGAAGCACTTCAAGGCCCTGTCTGAGCGGGAGGCGGGCCGCCTGCGCCAGGAGCAGGCCAGGGTGCGGAGCCAGCTGGGGGTCCTGAGGGAGAAGAGGAACTCCCAAGAGGTCGGTCTGTTTTATTGATTCACATCACAGTCTCCCAAGGACAAAGGTCTAGTCGTTACACAACGGTGTGGGATTGAAGCAAGCGTTCACTTTTACACAAAAAACATGACTACAAATTGAGTCACACACTGGCCTTTGACTCGACTTTCTAAATGGTATTTCTTTTGGATCTATCAGATTACACATTATGATTATAAGGTTAAATTCATACAATACAGCGTAATGGCAAAAATAGCATCATGACAAAAATATATGATAATGAATAACAAATATATGGATATTACTGACAAAAAAAAATGGAATAACGTCTCATAAAAATGTGCCCTGCAGAATGACATCTTCAAGGCCAGCCAGAAGCTGGAGAAGCTGCGGAGCCGGCTCAACTGGGACCAGCAGACCCTGGACGCCTGGCTGGAGGAGTCGGCCCTCAGGGACGAGGACACCATGGCCCTGGTCAAGTACTCCCAGCAGGACGAGCGCAGGATCAAGGTGAAGAGGAGAAACGCTCCTTTGTTTTAACTGCATTGTAGTACGAGTTGGTTCGGTGAGATTCAGAGTTTAATGGCGTTAAGTAACGAGGAATGTGAATACGGTTTATTTAATATTTTCTAAAAATTAGTCGTGTTTTTAAAAATAAAAATTGTGAGCATATTTGAAAGGGTTCATAAAAACAATAGGTCCAAGTGCTAACCGAAATGTTACCGAAATGGCAATTATAATCTAAAACGGTTACTTTTCTGTTGTGTATTCAGCAGTTTGATGTCATGTTCTCCTATTCCAGTCGCTCACTCTGGCGATAGAAAAGAAGATGCTCGAAGCCAACCAAAAACGCAAGGCACTGGACAATGAACTGACAGAGACGCTGTCAGCACAGGTAACACACACACACTCATGCACACACACACGCACACCACACACACACATTTATTTTTTGTCATTTCTTTTACTTTTCCTTGGCTTGGACATTTTACTCCGGGGGCTCCACTGAAAATGCAGCACCTGTCATTAATAATCATGGCAGCGTTTCCCGGCCGAATGTAAAAAGCTGACAGAATGCTCATTAGACCCGATGTTGGACTCCTTTTTTTTCCCCCCCGTAGATCGGTTTGGAGAAGACGGCGGAGAACTTCCGGCAGGCCCACCAGGAGAGGCAGGAGCTGCTGAGGCAGTGGGAGAACACCATCAAGCAGATGAAGAAGCGGGATGCGGAGATGCAGCAGTGCACACTGGCAAGTGTCCCCCGGAGATGGGAAGCCACGCTGGGCCGCGAAGCTGAGGCGTAGTCCCCCCTCTCACGGGGGCCCGGTTTTGGAAGCTGGGTGTCGTGGGGGGAATTCAAATCTAATCAAATACAACTTTATTTGTAGAGCGCTTTTTGTGCAGAACAGCAATGCAAAGTGCTTGACGTCCTGGACGTACTCGAGGAACCAGAAACAAGTTTCAAATAGCAAAATGTTAAAAAATGTGTCACAGTAAGCATGAGGGCTTTATCGTGAAATGGACAATATGTATGGCATGATATGCTCATGAATTAAAAATACTTCATTTACGGTTTGATATTGGGCTAAAATTGACTATTTCCCTCAAGTCGATTTTTCAATGTTTTTCTAGTACATAAGTCACTTAGAGTACAAAACCGTTGAAATAAAGTTGCGAACGCTCGTCTCTCTCTCCTGCAGCGGCTGGCCGAGGTCAACCAGGAGGTGCGGGAGAGGAGCGCGGCGGTGAGGGAGAAGAATGGCTTCCTGCAGATCGAGGAGCAGAACAACCAGGAGTGCGACAGAAGGATCTCCAGGGCGGAGCGCCAGGCCTCCAAGCTGAGGCAGGACTTCCAGGAGCACGAACTCAACCGCAGCCGCCTGCAGGACGAGGTCCCTCAGCTTTCCCCTCCTGTATAGGGCTTCAGTCACCCAGTGGCCGTCTTCTGCGTTCAGTTAATAATGTCCAAGTTTACATTTGTTGTCACTAGTTTTCCCCTCGGGATTGAACGAAGTATCCCGCTTATCTTATCTTTGAGTGAATCATCGTGGTGAATCATTCAGATATGTGTCATTGATCAGCAGATAAGGGGGTATAAGGGGAATCTTGCTTATGGATGCCTAAGATGTAGGCTTTGGACATGGGGGGATGAAACCCTCAACCTTTTGTCCCCCCCCGTCTCTGTCTGTGTGCAGCTGGACAGTGTGAAGGCCACGGTGGACAGGACGGCCACAGACGTGAAGTCGCTGCGTACGCAGATCTCCAGCGTGAAGAGAGACATCCAGGACAAGACGGACAAGTCAGTACAAACCCTCTCTCTCACTCTCACCCTCTCTATAATAACATAATTAATATGTGTGGCAGTTCACCTCTGCCACACGCCACCTTAGTGGCTTTTGCTGGGGCCCTCCGACAGAGGACACAGGTAGATGTTGTAGAATGCATTCATTGGAGACGGTATTTGATGTTACATGCTGCCATGACAGTGGCTCTCTCCTGAGTGTGTGTGGTGATAGCTGGTTTATCCTGGGTGCCATGATTGCTCTGCACCACAGGTGTGCAGCCCCACCCAGACCCAGAGTCAAACCAGTCTGACTCAGGCCAGGTGAGGCTGTAAACCAGCTATCAGCCACACACACTCCACAATATGTATTTAGTCATTTCTATATCGGAAGCTTTTATCCGAAGCGAAGTACAGTGAATACAGACGAAAGGTTGTTAAAGGCTGAGGACATTCAACCCAGAACCTGTTGGCTGGAGGTCGACCGACCTTGCCATGAGACTGTCCTTTATGTGTGTCTGTCTGTGTGTGTTGCAGAGTGAACGATGCCCAGCTCCACACGGCCGCCCTGGAGGACAAGCTGAGAGCGGTGACCCAGACGGCCCTCAGTGTGGAGGAGAGAGCCGCCCAGTTTGACCAGCTGCTCAGAGACGAGGAGCAGGCCACCAAAGTAATATACTGACACACACACACACACACACATTGTCCTCTTGTCCTTTGCTGTGTGTCAGAATTAACTGTACTTTTTTGGTCTCTGTCTGCTGTTCGCCAGGAGCTTGACATGCAGTTGCAGCACCACCGGGAGGTGCTGTTTCGCCAGAAGCAGAATCTGCAGGCGCTCAGGACCAAGGAGAAGGACCTGACGGCCCAGATGTTGGGGTGCAAGGCAGCCCTGTCCAGCCTCCACGGACACATGGGCAAGCTGGAGCAGAACCTGCTCAAACAGCAGGAAATCATCTACAACCAGGTAGAGACACGCTGTATATGCTGTATATAAACATTATAAACATTATTGTTATTGATGACGAGCTTATATATTATTATTATTTACTATGACTATTCAGTGTTTTTTTTAATCCAAATGTGACTTACATTGAATTCCTTGTTGAATTGAGTTGAATTCCTTGTTCATATGTGCTTTGGCAAATACATTTTCTAATTCTGATACATGTCATTAAAGGAGCAGGTTGGGGTTGGGGGGCATCTTGCCTAAGGTTGTCTACAGGTGGACTGTGGGCATTGGGGATCAAACCCAGTACCTCTCCCCTGGGAGTCAAACTCTAACCACGAGGCTATCCTGCCTCCATATAATAATAATAATAATAATAATAATAATAATAATAATAATAATAATAGGTAGGATCTTTTATATAGTGCCTTTCATCAGGACCGAAGGCGCTTGGTAAGTAACAGTAATGGATCAGTTAATGACAGTAAACTTAAGTAAACCCCCCCCCCCCCCCCCCAACCCAGGATCTCCAGATCCAGCAGCTGGAGAGCAAGGTGGGCCGTCTGCTGGGGGAGGTCGACATGGAGGAGAAGCAGGCGCTGGAGCCGAAGACCACCCAGCTGATGAGCACCGTGGAGGAGAGTAGCAGGGCCGCCCAGCTGCTCAGCACCCAGCTCAAGGAGCTAGACGTATGTCCGTCTGTCTGGCCATCCTACACCCCCCCACCCTCCAATGATCGAACAGAGTGGCTGAAAAACCTCCACAACTAGCTACTGGCTACTCATAATACACTTTATTATTTGCGTTGCATCTTTAAAAACAAAGATTGCAAAGTCGATGAACATGCACTATACACACAATACTATCGCGTCTGAAATGGCATTCAGCCTTACTTCCGTAATACATTTCATTTAGAAAAGTAAAAGGATATAAGGGTGAACAAAAAACGTTGTTTTTACTATAGTTTTAATTATCTACTTTGTCCAAGTGATGGATACTATTATTCAGTGAATGAATCGGGGAAAAAAAACGGAAAAATAATTGTCTTTAATGTCTTAAACGTTTTTTCTTTTGTGATGCCCGTTGGCGTTGTTGTGTCGTTGACAGGACGACATCCGCAGGGTGAGGAAGGAGGCCGAGAGGACGGGCGCAGAGAACCGAGAGCTGACCACCAAGATGGAGGAGCTGCAGCTGTTCAACAACACCGCTGACAAGGAGCTGAAGAAACTCAAGACGACCAAGCAGGCAAGCCACTCACCTGATGATCCAAGTCAAAATCTCTCATCTGACATTTGTTATGCCTACTTGGTAACGGCCACCACATAAAGTTGTCCACTTCAACCTCAGCTTCCAAGAATTGAAATACACACGAAAGGTACATTTAAAGGAGAATACATTTATTAATTATAAAATAACACAACTGAACACTAAACTAAAAAAACACACAACCTTGCAGAGATGGAGGTCTCCTCTCACGATATATATATATATATATATATGTGCCATTTGGTGGATGCTTTTATCCAAAGCATCTTACTAAACCCTAAATTTAACCCTAACTCTACATTTTTAGCATGGGTGGTCCCAGTGGGAATCGAACCCAACCCAACCCAACCTACCCTACCCAACGGCAACGTTAATGCCATGCTCTGCCAGTTGGGCTAGTCAGGACCACACATCTAAATAAAAACCGACCACAACAACAACAAAAAGAAAACAAACAAAACGTGAAGGATCGGCGCATAGGTCCTTGTTTTCCAAAGCGTGGACTCTCCTCGTCTCTCCCCACCAGGACGCCATGGTAGAGGACAACATGCTGAAGCTGGAGCTCCGCCGTCTGAGGGACCTGCTGTACAACAAGGCGGACGGCGTGCTGTCCCAGGAGAAGAGGAGGCTGGAGCTCCAGACCGCCATGAGGGAACGGGAGGCGGAGATCAGGTTCCACCGGGAGATGCTGAGCAAGGAGATGAAGATCGCCCAGCAGGAGAGACAGGAGCTCAGGTGAGACCACGCGAGAAGAAGCGAAAGGAAAAAAAAGATGTGCAGTATTATGGTAAAAATGTTAACACAGCAAGTAATTCATTAGGTGTGATTCTTAGTTTCTAGACCGGATGCGAGAACATAATGCTGTGACTCTGCTTGTGTGTCAGTGCGGAGGTCCACGAGAGGCTGTCCAAGATCGACAAGATGAGGAAGCGCTACGAGGTCTTGATCATCTCCATGGCGACGCCCGAGGGAGAGGAGGACAAATCGCAGGCTTACTACGTCATAAAGGTCAGGGTTTTATTAGCTGCATCATCTCATCCCGATCAGAGATGCGCTGAAGGGGATGGGTTCTCTGGCTGTACGTGAACAGGTCCAACTAGATGGACTTTCCCCGGTGTTTATTTCCATGATTGCTTTCAACCCGGACCCCGACCTTCACAGCAATTAATACTTTAACTTGGTCGCCTCTTACTTTATAAGCTAACTTAGCCATGTCTAACCTGAATACATGGTTTATTTAGTTATAATATCTACACACAAACCAGCTGTGCCCTAATGCTGAACATTAACCATATCTCAAGATGGTTACATTTTGGTATTAGATTAGAGATGGAGATGTTTAGATATTCTAATTCCGAAACTATCATCTACCAACTACCTTCTCTAAACCACTCCTAAACTTAATCATCTTTCCTATCTTTGAACCTGAACTATATGAACAAGCATCAGAGAAGTCTATTTAGTTGCTACGGTGCCCGATCACCTCGGGGGGGGGGGGGGGGGGGGAGGGGTAACCACGGTAACCACTCCCTTCCAGGTTGCCCAGGAGAAGGAGGAGCTCCGGCGGAAGGGGGACAACCTGGACGCCAAGATCCGCAAGATGGAGACGGAGATCCGAGCGCTGGACAACACCATTCAGCTGATCAACAACTGCAACACATCCTACCGCAAGTCCTTCCACAAAGTGCCCGAGTCCAGTGAGTGAAGAGGAACGACTAGTGCCAATGTCTTCTCCTGGGGATCATCTAGAATCAGCTACTACTTAAGGGTTTAGAGAGTTTAGCGCCCTCTGTCTGCTTCAGTGACTGGTGAGCAGTCGGTCAAGTGAGGTGTAGCAACCCCTTTGTCTATGCTACTACCGGATGAATCTGAATGTAAAAGGTTTTGCCTGTCCCCACACACACACACACACACACACACACACACACACACACTGAGGTTTTTAGAATTATCCACATTTCCCCTGCCGTGGATTGACATAAGAGCCACCAACACACAGACTCAGACTGTGTGTTGTGGTGTGCTCCAGGCCCGGAGAAAGAGGAGAAGGTCAGGCTGGAGGAGCAGCAGCGGGCGGTGGAGGAGAAGCATAGGTACCGGAGGAGGCAGATCCGAGAGCTGCAGGAGGACATTCAGGTCGGAATGCATGTGTCTTCTCTAATTATGAGCGCTATTCTTGTGGCTTGCATCTCATTTTACATTGCTATGTCGGCCTGCCTTGTGTTTGCACAACTGGTTCCAGCCAGACAATCGCCCGATGCACCTTCATTGTTCCTTCTGCTAGATGCTAGAATGTCCCCTGATCCCTATCTCGTCTCCCTTTGTTGTCCTTGAGAAGAGAACTGAACAGTAGAAGGATTGGGTTACTCGCACACAATGGTGCTGAGAGAGTAGGTCAGCCTATTCTTCCCGAGCCACTTATTAAACCACTGTTTACCACTGTTGTGTGTGTGTGTGCGTTGTATCAACAGGGTATGAGCAGAACCATGGAGATGCTTGGTCAGGAGGACCGAATTGAGCGGGAGCGGACGGAGGACGCCCAGTCACGCATGGCGCAGCTGAACAAGGAAGTGGATTCCCAAAATGAGAAACTCAGTCGAGTCACGAAGCAGGTTTGATGCGCTCCTACTGTCCCTCCCCCATAGTCTTGTTCTAGCACGGCCAGAGTGAAGTGCTCAGGTAAGGACATCGGAGGAAGACCCGTCACGCAGAACTCTTTCAGAGCATAAAACAATGATCAGACGCACTATCTTGCGGATTAAACAGCGCCTGCCCTCTGTCATGAACGCTGGACCCAGTCTCACTTTGGGGAGTGGTGCAGAACAGTTCTGAGTATATGTAGTCAGTCACCCATTAGTCTCACCACCCACGGCTGCATCGGTCCCCTGCGAGTGAGCACCACACCACATACGGCCTTCTACGGTGTGTTATTTCTGATTAGCAGACCGCTACTATGAATAACAAGACCATTGCTATGAATAACAGACCGTTGCTATGGACGCAGTTTTCACACCGTAGAATCAAACAGACAATTGTTTTTTTGTGGAAGCCATAAAATCATTTTAAAATCATTTTTCGTTGTTATATTTTGTGTCAAAGAATTGATTTCTTTAGTAATTAGCCGTGTAATAAGCGGGATAACGTAGCCAGCCGGTCATTATTGTGTACATTATCCCTTACGTGTTAAATTACAATGTGACGTTTCACATATGACATACAATGTATGTCTCTTCATGCCCACCCCCTTCCTCCAGTGCTCCAAGTTGACCAGAGAGATCCGGTCGGCCAACAAGAGCGCCGCGGGGCGGAGCTTCGAGGAGCGGGACATAGAGCTGAGGGAGATGAGGGACTTCAACAGGACCGTCAACCGCATGCTGCTGGAGGTGGTGGAGGAGCAGCCCCACCTCCAGGCCTCCATCCAGGAGTACTTTCTGCAGGTTAGTTTGTGTTTCATACGGCTGGTGTGAATGAGACTCATGGCTTTTGAATTGTGATGTGATGTCATATTTGAACCAAAAAGTGAATCGGTTCTTTGTTAGGCACGTTCATAAGTCGTGTGAGTATTATGGTTTGTGAAAAGCTTTGAGCAGACCGCAGCTACGGTCTAAAATATAAAGGAACAGAGTGGGTTCCTCTATTGCGTTCAGAGTACAGTAGCTAGGCAACAAGATGCCCTGACATTAGAGAAACTGAAAACCTCCCCGTGTTTTGTCCCCATCAGGCCAACCTGCCCCTGCCCACCCCCTCCTCCACCCCCGCCAGCCGCCAGAGCTCCAACACCAGCTCGGCTCGCAGCTCACTCTCTCTCAGGTGACACCTCCAGCACCACCTCATCATCATCCCCACCACCATCCCCTGCATCACCACGACCTGCACAACCACCATCATCACCTCCATCACTATCACCACCACCTCATCACTACCTCTTCCATCACCACCACCACCACCACCTCATCACTACCTCTTCCATCACCACCACCACCACCACCTCATCACTACCTCTTCCATCACCACCACCACCACCACCTCATCACTACCTCTTCCATCACCACCACCACCACTACCTCCACCATCACTACCTCCTCCCCGCCACCACCACCTCCACCATCACTACCTTCTCCCCACCACCACCTCATCGTTACCTCTTCCATCACCACCACTACCTCCTTACCACCACCACCACCACCTCTACCATCACTACCTCCTCCCCACCACCACCACCTCATCATTACCTCTTCCATCACCATCACCTCCACCATCACTACCTCCTCCCCACCACCACCACCTCCACCATCACTACCTTCTCCCCACCACCACCTCATCATTACCTCTTCCATCACCACCACTACCTCCTTACCACCACCACCACCACCACCTCTACCATCACTACCTCCTCCCCACCACCACCACCTCATCATTACCTCTTCCATCACCATCACCTCCACCATCACTACCTCCTCCCCACCACCACCTCATCATTACCTCTTCCATCACCACCACTACCTCCTTACCACCACCACCACCACCACCATCACCTCCACCTGCACTACCGCCATCACCGCCGTCCTCACCACTGTCCCTACCATCACCTCCACCTCCACGCCGGCTGGAGACGCACAAGTCTCAAGTCCCAAACAAAACAACCGCGCAAACAGCCTTGCTCCTGCCTTTTGGATTTTGCATGATTCACAAAGCACAACAGACAATGCACATCAGCGCAGAGCCGGTGGCCTGGCTAGACCTTATTAGATGTGACCTCATGGTCCGTGACACGTGTGCGCTCACCACAATCATGTTTGTGTAGCACTTTGTTCTGCTTTGAGTTGAACAACGGATGCCTTTTTTGACGACAAACCGCACACACTTATTAAAACCTAAATATAGCCTGTGTGTGGGAAAGGATAGTCTAGTCAGTGGTTAGGGTGTCAGGCATACCTGTCAGGCATCATTGAGCAAATTCATGCTTATGTTACATGTATAACATGCTGGTAATGGATAATAGTTAAAGTAATAGTTAATAGATAAACTCAACCATCACTTAACTAAAGGGATGGACAACATGGAACTGAATGCGGAGTTAGGCATTCAGTTCCATCACCCAGCTAGTGTTTAGAAGATGACCGCTAGGTAAATAAGATAACAATTCTGGCCTCCCTTCACCCGCACGCTTAGGTCCTCCACCTCCTCCTCGGCCAGCAGCAGTCCCAGGGGCTCGGCCCTGCGCTCCCCCACCACCAGGACCATTGAGCTGGGCCTGGGCCCGTCCGTCACCTCCCCTCCTCTGGCCATGTCCCTGCGCACCGGCAGCAGCAGCAGCAGCAGCGGTGGTTGTGGTAGTGGCGGTCGCAGGAGCCAGCGCAAGAGCCCCTAGTGGCGGGGAGAGACGGGCATCCGGCAAGTTGACCCC